AGTACCAACAGCTAGTTCCTTTTGGTTGCTTTGCTTTCATCTCCTCTGTTCAAATCAGTGGATGTCTTCAGTTAAAACTTTTCTAACCCTGAATATTAAGTGGAGCGTGACAAATCTTTATGGGTATTGCTCCACCTTGGGAATGTTGTTAGGTTCCATGAAGTCACATCCAAATTATGGCAATTCTGATAGAGTTTTCAATGTAAACGTGAAATTTAAGGAGTGGTTTTATCAGTCCCACCCAGGCCCAACCACCCCCCCCCCATTGTATGGCCAAATGGGTATTTTAACCCAGTGCTCCTGAATCCTAGTTTATCACCCCATTCCAAATTTCCACAATCTGTCCACTACACTCGACTGATTGTACTGGCTTCACCCTGTAGTCACCATGGAATCAAACAAAGTTCCTTGTTGTTGTTTGTAGTTTCGTTGTTAAGTCGTGTCTGACTCTTCGTGACCCCATGGACCAGAGCATGCCAGGCCCTCCTGGCTTCCACTGCCTCCCGGAGTTGGGTCAAATTCATGTTGGTAGTTTCAGTGACACTGTCCAACCATCTTGTCCTCTGTCGTCCCCTTCTCCTCTTGCCTTCACTCTTTCCCAAAAGTCTTTTCCAGGAGTCTTCTCTTCTTATGAGATGGTCAAAGTATTGGAGCCTCAACTTCAGAATCTGTCCTTCCAAAGTTCCCTGGTCCAGTCTATTTCTGCACATTTGTCCAAAGTCCCTGTAAAAAGGCCACTTTAATGGTCTGTACTCCATCTGGATGTGCAGCCTGGGATCAAGACAAGAATCGGGCAGCAGCTTCTCACATAGAGAGGCACAAAGAGCCACCTACTTTGGGGACAGGTTGTCCTCCTGTCTCTTGAGAGTGATGATGGAAATATCCAGACAATACCACTGGGAGAGTTCAGCTGTCCTAGTGGAAGATGGCTTGAAGGAGGCAAGGCCAGAGCAGAAGAAACAGGTACCTTTCTCTGAGCAATGGTGCCACAAGATGATGGGATTTAGGGGCAGAAAAATGGCGTTCCATTCAGCAGCGAAATTCCAGACACAGCTAAGTTTATATATTTTGCAAGACAAATTTAGGGTAAGCTGAAAAATCTGATATATCCTCCCACAGTGAACATCCTACTCCATGTGTTTAGCGGGGAATGGATGGTCTCTCCAAAGTGGATGCTGCTATTCAGCCCGGCTTGAAACAAATTTGTTATTTTCCAGAAAGGTGAATGTTCCCAACAGGCCTATAAAATTGAGAATTATATATTTAAAAGACTGAAAGTGGATGTGTCAGCCTCTCTCCCCGCCCCCCCCAAAAAGAAAATCTTCCACAGCTTGTCTTTCTCTTGTGCTTTTGACAGACGTTTATTGCAATACAGAAATAAACATCCGAAGCTTTCCCTAGCCTGGAAATAAACATAATCGTTTGCTGATCGCTGTAGAATAAGATCGAATTACTGTTAAAGAAACAAAGCAAGAGAAAACCCTTGAGATTTTGTTTTGGTTTTCAGTCACTTCGAAATCTTCCTGCATCTTCCTGAGGGAGAGACTCTTCTTGTTTTTTTCCCTCTTCCATAAGACTGCGGCCATCTTGTGACAGGAGAGATACCGCTTTGCCCTAGCTCTCTGCACTCTCTCTGCACTCTTGTTACCTCAGGTGTAGGACAGGATACACAGGACTGCAGTGTCGAGTCAAAACTACTGTTCAAGTCTTCTTAAAGTAGTTAATTGTTGTTATCATCACAACTATAAAAAAAAGAGAGGCTTTTTCATTTCCTGGCTTTGCTGCTGTTACATGTCATCAAATTGCTTTGGATTCATGGCAACTCTATGAATGAGCCATCTCCAAAATATCCTGTCCTCAAAAGTCCTGCTCAACTCCTGCCGACTCAAGTCTGTGTGGTTTCCTTTAGGGAGTCAGCCCATTTCATACTTGGTCTTCCTCTTTTCCTGCTTCCTTCCATCTCTTCCAGCATTATTGTCTATTTTGAAAAATCTTGCCTTCTCATGAGGTGCCCAAAGTAGGACAGCTTCAGTTTCATCATTTTTTTTTGCCTCCAGAGATAATTCAGGATCGATTTCTTCATCCTCAAAGCTCTCACCCATTGCCACATTTCAAACAAATCATTTCCCCCCTGTCAGCTTTCTTAACTGTCCTACTTGCACCCCCATCGCTCCGGAATACAAGAGTGTGGATGATTTTGCTTTTGATCTCCAGTGACACATCCTTACACCCAATGATCTTTTCTAATTCCTTCATTGCTGCCCTTCCTACTCTCAGTCGTCTGATTTCATGACTTTGGTCTCCATTTGGATGGACGGTTGAACCAAAGTATACAAAATCTCTAACTATTTTAATTTCTTCACTGTCAACGTTCAACTTGCGTACTGTAGTTCTTCTGTGGTCATGGTCTTTGTCTTCTTCATGTTCAGATGTAGTCCTGCTTTGGCACTTTCTTCTTTCAAGTAACTAAAACCGTAATTGGTTACTCAGTCAAATGGTACAAAATGTCAAAATGGTTCTCCTCTCCAGATCCTCAGTGGCTACCACAGAGCATGAGCTACAACCTGAGGTGGCATGTGATCCAAGCCATATGTCTTCTCCACACTTAAGTGCCGCTGCACCCAGTGTCCACAACTGTTCCAGTTCCAATGCAAAAGGGGAGCTTCATCCCTCATTCTATTACACTTGCAATGTCAGGAAAGGAAAGTAACTATGAGCTCCATCCAGTTCATTCCAGGCTCTGTGCTGTCCCACCAACCTGGGCTGCCGTGAGACCTCACTGCCAATCCTGCTGGCTTCTGTTTGTGGACCAGGACCAACTTGTCCACTCCTGGCAGTGAGATATCTTAGCCTGGCCTGGCGTTCTTTGCATTCCAGTGCAATGGCAGGGGGTGTATGTAGAACACATAAGGGGGCTTTTTCTTTGGCTACCCCCAAGTTGTGAAATTCACTCTGCTCATTTGGCTCCGTTTCCTTTTTTGGCTTCTGCTGTACGATGAAGATAATCCTGTTATGCAAGATTTTTTAATTAGGCGTGGTATTTTTAATCCTCACTCTGCTGTGCTATTAATTATCTCTTTTCAGTGGTGGCGGGGGAGTTGAATTGTTTTAATTATTTTAATTGCTCTGTTTTTCTTATTTTCCTAAATAGTTGTTAGCCACGGTGAGCATTCTTTTCTGAACTTTGCTATGCTAGCTGGGCCCTTCTGGGAGCAGCATGCCATCAAATGGCATTTTCCCATCTCTCGCTGTCTTATCGAGGATGGGCAGGATGATTCAGCAGACAGAAACTGGAAACCCTACTAGGCAACGTGAAGATTTATTAAGAGGTCAAACGGCCTCTCTTCTTAGAACTTTACACTTTCATCCTAACTTCTGGCTACGTTTGTGTGCATATAGGCAGATCTAGCCAACAAGATTTTACAAAGCTAGCAATTGAAGTGTACTCAAGCTTTCTTTCTTTCTTTCTTCTGATATATCCTCCCACAGTGAACATCCTACTCCATGTGTTTAGCAGGGAATGGATGGTCTCTCCAAAGTGGATGCTGCTATTCAGCCTGGCTTGAAACAAATTTGTTATTTTCCAGAAAGGCGAATGTTCCCAACAGGCCTATAAAATTGAGAATTATATATTTAAAAGATTGAAAGTGGATGTGTCAGCCTCTCTCCCCGCCCCCCCCAAAAAGAAAATCTTCCACAGCTTGTCTTTCTCTTGTGCTTTTGACAGACGTTTATTGCAATACAGAAATAAACATCCGAAGCTTTCCCTAGCCTGGAAATAAACATAATCGTTTGCTGATCGCTGTAGAATAAGATCGAATTACTGTTAAAGAAACAAAGCAAGAGAAAACCCTTGAGATTTTGTTTTGGTTTTCAGTCACTTCGAAATCTTCCTGCATCTTCCTGAGGGAGAGACTCTTCTTGTTTTTTTCCCTCTTCCATAAGACTGCGGCCATCTTGTGACAGGAGAGATACCGCTTTGCCCTAGCTCTCTGCACTCTCTCTGCACTCCTGCTACCTCAGGTGTAGGACAGGATACACAGGACTGCAGTGTCGAGTCAAAACTACTGTTCAAGTCTTCTTAAAGTAGTTAATTGTTGTTATCATCACAACTGTAAAAAAAAAGAGAGAGAGAGGCTCAAGTAGTTAATTGTTGTTATCATCACAACTATAAAAAAAAGAGAGGCTTTTTCATTTCCTGGCTTTGCTGCTGTTACATGTCATCAAATTGCTTTGGATTCATGGCAACTCTATGAATGAGCCATCTCCAAAATATCCTGTCCTCAAAAGTCCTGCTCAACTCCTGCCGACTCAAGTCTGTGTGGTTTCCTTTAGGGAGTCAGCCCATTTCATACTTGGTCTTCCTCTTTTCCTGCTTCCTTCCATCTCTTCCAGCATTATTGTCTATTTTGAAGAATCCTGCCTTCTCATGAGGTGCCCAAAGTAGGGCAGCTTCAGTTTCATCATTTTTTGCCTCCAGAGATAATTCAGGATTGATTTCTTCATCCTCAAAGCTCTCATAGGACAGCTTCAGTTTCATCATTTTTTTTTGCCTCCAGAGATAATTCAGGATCGATTTCTTCATCCTCAAAGCTCTCACCCATTGCCACATTTCAAACAAATCATTTCCCCCCTGTCAGCTTTCTTAACTGTCCTACTTGCACCCCCATCGCTCCGGAATACAAGAGTGTGGATGATTTTGCTTTTGATCTCCAGTGACACATCCTTACACCCAATGATCTTTTCTAATTCCTTCATTGCTGCCCTTCTGATTTCATGACTTTGGTCTCCATTTGGATAGATGGTTGAACCAAAGTATACAAAATCTCTAACTATTTTAATTTCTTCACTGTCAACGTTCAACTTGCGTACTGTAGTTCTTCTGTGGTCATGGTCTTTGTCTTCTTCATGTTCAGATGTAGTCCTGCTTTGGCACTTTCTTCTTTCAAGTAACTAAAACCGTAATTGGTTACTCAGTCAAATGGTACAAAATGTCAAAATGGTTCTCCTCTCCAGATCCTCAGTGGCTACCACAGAGCATGAGCTACAACCTGAGGTGGCATGTGATCCAAGCCATATGTCTTCTCCACACTTAAGTGCCGCTGCACCCAGTGTCCACAACTGTTCCAGTTCCAATGCAAAAGGGGAGCTTCATCCCTCATTCTATTACACTTGCAATGTCAGGAAAGGAAAGTAACTATGAGCTCCATCCAGTTCATTCCAGGCTCTGTGCTGTCCCACCAACCTGGGCTGCCGTGAGACCTCACTGCCAATCCTGCTGGCTTCTGTTTGTGGACCAGGACCAACTTGTCCACTCCTGGCAGTGAGATATCTTAGCCTGGCCTGGCGTTCTTTGCATTCCAGTGCAATGGCAGGGGGTGTATGTAGAACACATAAGGGGGCTTTTTCTTTGGCTACCCCCAAGTTGTGAAATTCACTCTGCTCATTTGGCTCCGTTTCCTTTTTTGGCTTCTGCTGTACGATGAAGATAATCCTGTTATGCAAGATTTTTTAATTAGGCGTGGTATTTTTAATCCTCACTCTGCTGTGCTATTAATTATCTCTTTTCAGTGGTGGCGGGGGAGTTGAATTGTTTTAATTATTTTAATTGCTCTGTTTTTCTTATTTTCCTAAATAGTTGTTAGCCACGGTGAGCATTCTTTTCTGAACTTTGCTATGCTAGCTGGGCCCTTCTGGGAGCAGCATGCCATCAAATGGCATTTTCCCATCTCTCGCTGTCTTATCGAGGATGGGCAGGATGATTCAGCAGACAGAAACTGGAAACCCTACTAGGCAACGTGAAGATTTATTAAGAGGTCAAACGGCCTCTCTTCTTAGAACTTTACACTTTCATCCTAACTTCTGGCTACGTTTGTGTGCATATAGGCAGATCTAGCCAACAAGATTTTACAAAGCTAGCAATTGAAGTGTACTCAAGCTTTCTTTCTTTCTTTCTTTCTTTCTTTCTTTCTTTCTTTCTTTCTTTCTTTCTTTCTTTCTTTCTTTCTTTCTTTCT